ATCGGAAAAGGGCGATGATGTGACCCTTCCTGACATTGGAAAACTTTCCGTGACGGAGAAGAAGAAAGACGACATGGATGTGGATCAGGAAGGCTCCAAGAAGGATTCCGCCGGGACGAAGAAGCCCACGCCTCGGGATACTGGGGCTGGGAAGGCAGACCCGAGCGAGATCACCAATTACAAAGGGGCTACCTTCGAGGAGTACCGAAAGGCTGACTACGTGTACAGCGGGGAGGGAGATGATCGAAGGATCCTTCCCAAGAACACTCCGATTGACATGGAGAAGTCGTTGCCAGCCGAGGCTGCGCTCCTGATTCCTAGAGCAGTGGCCACGCAGAAGGAGGCTGAGGAAGCCGAGAGGGCCGCGATGGAGGCCATCCGCGGGGACTATAGGCTCCCTGACGTGGGTCAGGAAGACAGGGAGAAGGTCGATCCTCACACCGTGACGGATGAAGACTTGGCTGCGTCGATAGACGCGTTGACTAGGAGGTTGAGCGACATGCCTGAATGGTCGGGCAATCTGATCGATCCTGCGAAGTCTGCTGAGCTGGTCGCGGCGAGATGGGGCGGAAAGGCGAGTTATGACAAGCCTGAGGCTCCTCTGACTGAGGCTGGGATGAAGAGTGCGTCATTGGAGGATCGAGCCTATGCTCTGTCGCAGCTGAACGAGATGGTGAACTTTCACAAGAAACACCTATGCTCTGGGCGAGGAGCGCCTATGGTAAGTGCAGCTGCCCCCAGTGGACCCTTTGCTCCTGATCAGCTGGATGATAGCAGGAGGTTCAGACCGAGTGAGGCGGCGAGCAAGATGACCTACAATCTTGTGGTCCTGGATGGGAGGAAGGATTATCTTGCCGATAGGCGGGATATCAATCCAGAATTAAGAGATACTGGGGTTATCCCTGATGAGGCCGCTACGTGTCAGATTGTGGTTCCCTCGAAAACAAGGTTGGGCGAATACCTCCCGAACTACGAGGAGACCGCGGGCACCGTTGCAGGGCGGGAGGCGGCTAAGGAGTTGATGAGACTGCTCTCGTGCGACTTTGAGGGTCTGGTCATCAACTCGAAGAGAGTCTCGGAGTTATTCGAGGAACGTGTGCTGAAGGAAACCGGGCGTGAGGCTGGAAACTGGGTGAACAGTGACCAGGCCATCTGGTTCCTGAGAGAGATCTCGGGCATGGAGAACGCCGAGATGTCGTGGAAGTTCTTCATTCCGACGATTAAAGCTTTCCCGATAGGGCAAGTTGAGGCGATGCTCATGGTCATGTACGATGGGAATGGTGTCCTCCTCAAGGAGAGCACTAGGTTAGTGGCCGTTAGGCACACGCGGATCGGACGTGACATGAGCTACAGTGCCGTTAGGCAAAGGTACACTCAAGAAGATGCACCTGGCGGATCTCTAATGTACGAGATGCACTGGAATGAATTCCCCATGGTGGGGTACGTCGTCATGAAGTTCTCGGACTTTAGGAAGGCGGTTCAGCTCCAAAGGGTGAGGCGAAACGGAAAGGCCATGATCGAGATATTGATCACGAGGCCCGATGTGTACGAGACCATTGGGGATGGAAGGCAGGATGAGGGCCTAATCCCACTTGTGGGAACCATGGCGCCGAATGCCGAGGTATCGCCTTCGTGGTACGTCAGGGACAGGCTGCGGAACTACTCGGGTAGGTACGTGGTGGTGATGGTGGACCTTCGGGTGCACTGGTCCTTGGTTGGACCCGTGTTTTTGACGAGGAGGAAGACCCTTGCCGTTCGGAACGAGATCCACATGGGAGCTTGGAAGGCAGCATACATGTACGATGATTACACGATAGTGTACCATCGGGCATGGGACTATGGTGACTTCACCCCCGTTAGGGGAGAGCACAGGCGATCGCGTGAAGAGGTCAGGTTGAATGTGACCACCACGTTCTGTTTGAGGTGCGCGGAGATGACGCCAAATGGGATGCATTTGTGTCCTGGGTGTGCGCTCCCGGTCTTCTACCCGAACTTTATCCCCAACGCGGAGGAAAATGACTTCGAGAGGTGCCGCATCGTCCCGGAGTGGGTGAGGACCATGGGACAGTTCAAGCCCAAGAGGATCCCCTCCGAAGTGGTCGGAGTCATCAAGAGGAACTTGATTTCCTATTCGATGGCGTCTGACCTGAGGATGACGGTGCAGAGCGGCATCAGACTGCCCCCTTATCTTGAGTTGATACGGCGTGGGATGAGCTGGCGAAGGTGCTCTTCCAATTCTCCTATGTGTCGGGGATTTCGGCCTCGGATGCGTTCGTGGAGAAGTGGGTGGCGAAGCACCTGATTATGACCAATCAAGTCGATATTGATTCGGTCACTGAGTACTTCCGAGCTAACCCGAGGCATGCTGCTCAGTGGGGTAGGCGTATGACGACTTCCGTTAGGAAGTTCGCTCGTCATGATACGTACTTATCCTTCTACATCCCGATGGCGTATGTGATTGGCTCCGCGGCGGGTCATCTGACTCCATTGTATCCGACCCATCGGAAGGACGTGGACATCCTGGCCAGTCATGCGTTGATATCGCAACTCAGGGGGTACATGGTGTCGGAGACAGGGTACGATGAGAAGAAGAGATTGAAGGAGGCGATAGCCAAGGTGCAGAAGGCAATCAGTGCCGGGCAGTCGGAGCCTCCCGCCCCCTTCCGTGACCCATTCGTCTACGTTAGTGACGAAAGGGTAAGGACGGTTCTTGATGGTCGTCAACCGGAGCCATTGGACGTGAACATCGAAGGGCTTCAATCGGTGCATCATGCTGCGCAGGGTCCTGGTCCTAAGCAGGAGCCGATCGTCAAGGGCGGAAAAGGAAAAGGGAAGAAGGGGGAAAAGGGCGGTAAGGGCGGTAGCCCTTCCGGCCCACCACCAAAGTCAGGTGAAGTGCCAGGAAAAGGGTCTGGTAAGGGCGTTAGTCCGTCTGTCCCGCAGGCAAAAGCGAAGGCTGATGCTGGGCCGGCTCCGATGGAGGTTGATGCAACTGTGGCTCAACCGAAGAAGACTTGGGTCGCGATGGTGGTTGAAGGAGCCAGGCCGAGCGCAAAGGCTAAAATGACCCCGGTTCCAAAGGCCGAGCCAAAAGGGAAGGCCGCTTCTGTGTCTGAGGCGAAGAATGCTCCGGCTCCGAAGGCTGAGGCTAAGGAGACGAAGCAGGCCGAACCGAGGGTTGAGGTCAAGAAGGAGAAGGTAGGCGGAGACGACGCTCCTGCCGGTAGTCGGGGGTCGGCTGAAGGGCAGAAGAGGGAAAGGAAGTCCCGTTGGGATCCCGATGAGACTGTGAAGGAGTCGACAAAGCGGGAGGCGTCGACAAGGCCTGATGACGTCGACAGCCGACCAGGTGCGGCAGCGAGAGAAGCTAGTGGGGATGATCTTCACTCCGCGCTTGGCAGATCTTCGGCAAAGGACGCGGTAGCGCCTTTGACGGCATCCAAGGCAATGGCAAAGAAGCCTGAAGGCGGTGAGATTAGGTTGCAGTCGGCTGAGCGAACTGCGGCGAGTCCGGTGGAGGGTCACTTCCTGGTGCTGCCTGAGAGTTCGGTGGTGGACGCTCTCTTGGCGGTCTCCACCAACAGAGTGCTGAACAAGCAAGTCAGGGATTTCATTAGAAATGGTGAGGACGCGTCAGCACTGGAGGCTCTCAACCAGATCGTGACGAATTCTCGCTCTGGGAGAAGACGTAGGGAATCGGATGTTTCCCGCACTCCTTCTCGGAGGTCCGTTAGGACCGTGGACACCAGGGATTCCAGAGAATCGAGAAGGCGCAGATACCGTCCGCGGCGCGAGGATGATCGCGACCGGAGGAGGGACGATGCTCGTGATCGTCGTGATGATGATTCACTCGATCGGGAGCGAGATCGAAGGCGAGATGATCGCAGGAGATCCGAAAGGGATCGTGATAGGGACCGTGCGCGGGGCGGACGTG